AGGGGAGGCTCCCAGCCAGCCTCACCTCTGCTCCATCTCCTGCTTCATGTCAATGCCCTGCTTCTCCAGCAGCTCGCGCTGGGCGAAGGCCCAGTCCACAGGCTCTGAGGGCGTCTCCGCGCAGGGCGTGCGCTCGCGCTCCTGCCGCGCCTGCTCAGGGTGGTTGAACCGGAACACGTGGCTCTTCCCCATGATGATGCGGTTTCCTGAGGGACAGAAGCCAGGTTGAACTAGGGGGACCTGCCCCCTCGGGTGGCCTCGGTGGTGGGGAGGAGAGGGAAAAGGGGGAGCGGTCCCTTCCTCAAATTTGGCTCCCAGCATCTCCCACCCCAGGAACCACCCCCGGGTCCTCAGCTCTGTGGAACTCCTCCACTCACCCCGGGCCCAGACTTCAATGGAATCCTCACTTGCCCCCAATCCACCCTCTCAGCCCCTCCCCTCTGTAGCCAGGGATGATTGCAAAGTGCAGTCCCAGGCTTTCCCCATGTTCCATCCTTGCCATGGTGCCCCCCCATGCCAGGCTCTCCTCCCAGCCTGGCGCCTCAAGCCAATGCTCTGCCTTCCCGAATGCCCACAGCCCTGGGAGCAGACGGGCTCCACCGGCAGAGGGTGGCACGGGCCTTCTGCCTGGCTGTACCTGACCGAAGGATGCTGGGCTCCGTGACTTTCTTGCCATTGACGTAGGTGTCTGCCCCTTCACAAGGCTCCAGGGTCACCACGGCTACAGGATAGGGGGACAGATAGGGGGACAGAAGGACTGTCAGGAGCTGTCATCGTGGGTGCCACACCCTCCAGCTACCTGCATGGCTCTGCTCACCTGGCACCCATGTGCAGCCCCACCACCACTCTCCTCCTTGCTAGCAGCAAAGCCTTAACTGTTAGTGGCACCTTTTTGGGCCTCAGAGAAGCCGAGGGGTCACACCTGATTTTAGGTGAGGAGAGTGGCACCCTGTCAAAGAGCCAGGAGGCTGTTCTGGGCTGACCACCAACCCTGTCAGGCTCTCCAGGTGGGCAGCATGTCCCCAGGAGTCCTGGAGCCTCTCTGGCTCTGTGCCCGCCCACTCAGGGGAGGGCAGGCTTTGGGGACAGAAAATTCTGGGAGAGCCAATGTCCCCAATATTGTTTAAGGCCACCACCCTGAAGTGTCCCAGTTATACAGCAGGTGTCGGCCACCGTGTGCAACCCAGAGGTTGGCTGGACACCTGGCCTCAGATGTAACAACACTCTGACCAGCAGGTGCTCCCCTAGACATCACACCCAAGACAGGCCATGCAGACGGACGGCAGACAGTCAGGGAAATGGGCCGGTGGCCGCTCCACAGATAGCGGAAAGTGTGGTCCAGAAATAATTCTCCACTTTCCACCTGGCTGGCTCCTCATGGCTCACTGTCCTCCTACCCAGGATCACCCCAAAACACACTGACACCGAAGAGGCTGCCCACAGCCCCAGCCTAGTCGCCCAAGCCCCTGTCTGATTGAGGGGCTTCCCAGGACGGACCGGGGATCCTGGAGGTAATGAGCTGGCCTGGGCTGACCGGAGGCTCAGCAGCACTGGGTGGGGTGAAGGGTAGCGATACCTTCACTGCCGCCTCTGGAGTCACTGCGGAAGACACAGTGCTCCTCCTTGATGAAGTGCCCGCTCAGGACGATGTCCTGCCGCCTCTCCCCGTCCTCACGGCCCACTCTGTGGGGAACAGGGGAGCACAGTCATCAATGACCAGGGCACCCAGGATGCCACCCGCTGGCTCCCTCCCCACTTCCCCTGCAGCCTCCAGGGACACCTACCCGGGCTTTAATGGGAAACACCCAAGATGCACATGAGTGGGGGCACATGGAATACCCCCAAACACAGCCAATCCTGGGAGAGCCACTCGGCCCCGAGTAGCCAGAGCATCACTTCCAGGAAACATGGATGGGCCCTCACCCCCACTGCTGCCCCACCCATGAGCCTGCTCCACCTGTGAGCCACCCCACCTGTGAGCCACCCCCCCTGTGAGCCTGCCCCACCTGGTGAGCCCACCCCACCTGTGAGCCTGCCCCACCTGGTGAGCCCACCCCACCTGTGAGCCACCCCACCTGTGAGCCTGCCCCACCTGGTGAGCCCACCCCACCTGTGAGCCACCCCACCTGTGAGCCTGCCCCACCTGGTGAGCCCATCCTTGATATAGTAGAGGAGGCACTCAGACATCAGCGGGTCCTCGTTCAGGTTGACAAGATGCGGCGTCTAGGGAGAGAGGAGGGTCACCTGTCTTGCAGGGAGCAGGAGCCCAGCACTGGCTGCCTACCTGACCTCTCTCCCTGGGCACCAGACCACCACCAATGCTGGGCCTGGCCTTGTGCGGGACACAGCATCCTTCCAGCTTGGCAGGAAGGACCGGACACATGAAGGAAAAGTTTCCCAGAGGAAGAGCCTTTGACGGGGACTCCACAGACTTGGAGGGTACAGCCAGGTAGCAGGCTGGGTAGGGGCTCAGCCTTGGCACTCAGGGGGAGCTGGGCTTCGGGAGGGACTGGGAACCCAGCTCTCAGCACTCAAGGGCCCAGGGGCGCTTGGAGTTGTGGTGGGCACCCAGGAGCGAGGGCTCCAGTGGGTACTCGAACCAAGGAGTACAACTCTGGCCGAGAAGGCCTCAGGCCCTGGCAGTGGGAGCAGAGAGGTTGTGAAATTCTCCACCCAAGTCGACAACCCCCCACCATGCCTCTCCTGTCCATGGTCAAGCAAAACACGGTCCAAAGCTGAGGTGACCATCTCCCCACAGTGGCCCCTGTCTAAGTACTGCCCTGGACTCCCTGCTCCATCTGTCCCCAGGGCAGCTGCTGCAGGCTCTGCCCCCTGGGGCCCGACGCCCCACCTTCA